CCCCCTCCCCCATAGATACATAATTTCAGATTTCCGCAAGAGGAACATTGATGCCTCCGGTGTGCGCTGGCAGAGCCGGGGGGACACCCCGTGTGCCTGTTGCCTGGTTAATGTCACCGCCGGTTCTCGCACCGTCACGCTCTATGACACGTAAGGAACATGAACCTCGTTTCTGTATTCCATCCCATAATATCTGTACATCTCCGATGTGTGGCCCTCTATGTGTGGCCCTCTATGTGGCCCTCGGCTGATGTGATGCAGAATGAGTAAAGCCGAGTGTGGTGAGGAGGAGGATGGAAGGTGGGCTTTGCGGGCTCTCAGGAGTGCTGTGTGTGGGGGGGCGGGGTCTCACCGGAGGCGGGCAGTGTGGTGTCAGGAAGGAGCCGGAGGAGGAGCTCTGCGGTCCCGTGCTTGCTGTCAGTGTCCCGGATTCAGCCACCTGACACCCGGACACAAGACTAGAATACCGGACTGTCCGGGTGAAGTCCATTCCCATGATCCTTCAGGGTAAATATCCGGTGACAACGCATCTTCCTATGGCACTCCGATAGGCCGCTGTAATCCCGGGAGAACTGCAGACACATCTCATTATGTGGCAGAGCGAAGAAACCACGGAACAATTAATTCCCGGAGATACAAAGTATCCGCTACACTGTGTATGTTCTATGGAGAGAATTGTGTGTGGGAGGAGCTGAGTGCGTGTGGGAGGAGCTGAGTGCGTGTGGGAGGATCTGAGTGCGTGTGGGAGGATCTGAGTGCGTGTGGGAGGATCTGAGTGTGTGTGGGAGAAGCTTATCATTATTATTACATCAGAAGCGTAGGACCGCAGGGCAGGACCGTACCTCCTTGGCTGGGGCATTGGCCGGCTGATCCTGTAGAAGGACACGGAGATGAGACGTAGAACCCTCCCCCCACCTTCAGTGCTCCGGTAACATTCGGTGATCTGTCCGTGTTTTGGTTAGGGACGCTCCTGTTTTTAGGCCACGCCCATTTTTATACCTCGTTCCTTCTCTCCGAGCCCGCAGGAACCTTCCAGATGTTACCGCAGAAGACTTCCAGAAAGTGGACCTGTCCTCGTACAAGTGGATTCACTGGGAGG